TTGGCCTCACGGAAGAGCATCTAACTTTTGAGATGGCAATACTACCAGATTAATGGGAGGGTGAGAACTGTGTTTCCCCAAAAATAAGACCCGGTCTTATATTTTTTTTTACCTCAAAAAGAGGCACTAGGTCTTATTCTCGGAGGATGTCTTACCTTAGGACCGCTGCAGCCAGGCCTCGCATGCCCCATTAGTCACGCCACTGCTTGACTTCTTCAACGGCCACTTGCCAGCACTTGCAGCCAGATGCTATGTGGAGCACTGTGCCGGTGCCACCGATTGCAGAAGGACGCCGCATGGTGCTTCACACCTGTGCTACTGGTCGCAGCAGGACGCCGCGCGGTGCTTGAGGCCGTTTGCAGGAGGCTGCATGGTCCTTCAGACTGTTGCTGCTGGTTGTGGCAGGACGCCACACGGTGCTTTGGGCCGTTGCCGCCGATCGGGTCAAGGCACTGTGCGGTGCTTCGGGCCATTTGCAGGAGGCTGCATGGCGCTTCGGTGGCAACAGTGTGACAAGCACCATGTAGCCTCCTGCCGCGAGGAGCAGCAACAGTACAACAAGCCATGTAGCGCAACAAGTGTCAAGGCGTAGGACGCCTGCTTGTTGCGGTCCTACCGGTAAGGTAAGCAGTTGCGGGGTGCCTGAGGCAGCTCCACCTCCCCCCTACGCCTGCCCTAGCTTGATTTTTAGGCATGCACCTCACCCCAAAACTAGGGCTTATTTTCAGGGTAGGGCTGATATTAGGCCCACTCCCAAAAATCAAGCTAGGGCTTATTTTCGGGGTAGGTCTTACCTTCGGGGAAACACGGTATATCTCAGATTAAATGAAATCAGAAACTTTACTACTGCCATTGACAACCTTGAGAGAATCTCCAATTTACTCTGTCTTTGTATTCACAAAAGTCATCGTGACAAAAGACAACAATCTGACAAGTTCAATATGAAACAATCAGGTTTGTCAGCACTCCAGAAAAGGGCAGGTCAGGAAGCAAACACAACAAGGACTACTGGGACTCTATTGTTGTATGGCAAAATAGCAGAATCTTGAAAGCTAGCCAGAGGTGGCATTCTTCCTCTTTTTTTTTTACCATACAGAATCAAGGCCTGGTTATTTTGAATTTCTTTCTCCTGCTTCCTCTTTTCCCAGAATTGAGTTTTCATTTACTTTACCTTTTGTAATAGTAAGGATTTATTAAACTCCTTTACCACTCAATCCACAACAGCTCTGGGTGGTTTACAACAATGAAACAAATATTACAATCAAGATAAAAGTTGGCATGTGGCAGTAAAGCTTCCCACCCCCAAATTTTAATTTTAATTATGTGAATGTTGCAGGAAAAAGATATAATAATAATAATAATAATAATAATAATAATAATAATAATAATAATAATAATAATAATAATAAAGTTGGAAGGGACCTTGGAGGTCATCTAGTCCAACCCCCTGCTCAGGCAGAAAACCCTATACCATTTTGGACAAATGGCTGTGCAGTCTCTTCTTAAAAACTTCCAGTGTTGGCGCATTCACCGCTTCTGGAGGCAGGTTGTTCCACTGGTTAATTGTTCTAACTGTCAGGAAGTTTCTCCTTAGTTCTAGGTTATTAAATTTTTAGGGGGTTCGGGGTTGGCCCGAGGGGACTTGGGGGAGCCCTCTCTGAGGCCAAGGCCAGTCCAGTTTGAGGGGCGCGGAACGGTGAGGGAGGAGACTGGGGGGTTAATAGAGGGTGGTGTGATTGGTACGGTCAGTGGGAGGGGCAGATATGGCGGGAGCAGAGGACCATATCGGGTTTTGGGAGCACGCACACGCTGCTTACAAGCTTCTGGGTGCTCCGATCCTCAGGGCTCTACTCGACTACCAGGGACTTTAGATCCTCGGGCCCGGGATCATCGGCTGATGTTATGCAATGCCAGGTCCGTTGTAAATAAGGCCCCACTCATTCAAGAGCTCATTCAAGAGGGGGGAGCGGACCTGGCAGGTATCACCGAGACCTGGCTGGGCATGGAAGGGGGAGTTCCCCTTGTTGATCTATGCCCGCCGGGTTTCCAGGCATTCCATCAGCCGAGGGCCCGGAGTAGGGGCGGTGGGGTTGCGGTCATTATAAGGGAGAGCCTATGTCCGAGGGAGACCACTGTGCCTCAGATAGACGGTGCAGAGTCCCTCCTTGTGAAGTGGGGGCAAGGGGTGCAAGTGGGTCTGTTGATTATATACCTGGCCCCCTGCTATGTATCAACGGCCCTGCCTGAGCTGGCTGACGTAATAGCCGGGGTGGCAGTGGAGACCCCCAGACTTATAGTCATGGGGGATCTCAACCTGCCATCGGCGGGCAAAACGTCGGCGGCAGCTCGGGAGTTCTTGGCTTCCATGACGACCTTGGACTTGACCCAATTAGTTCGTGCCCCCACTCACACGGGAGGACATACACTAGATCTAATTTTTGTCTCTGGCCAGTGGCAGAATGATCTGGAAATGGGGGAAATAGTTATAGAGCCCTTGTCATGGTCAGATCATGCACTCCTTAGGATGGATTTCTGGACCGCTTCCCCCCGCCGCAGGGAGACAGAACCGCGTAGATGGTTCCGTCCCAGGCGCCTGATGGACCCGGAGAGGTTCCTGACGGAGCTTGGGCCATATCCGGAGGATCTAGTCCACGGCTCGGCGGAAAATCTGGCGGCGGCCTGGGATGTGGCCGCAGCCGCAGCATTGGACCGAGTTGTGCCGTTGCGGCCTCTGACCCGACGCAGATCTCAACTAGCTCCTCGGTTTACCGAGGAGCTGAGAGAGATGAAGCGCCGGAAAAGACGCCTAGAGAGCAGTTGGAGGGCTTCCCGAACCAAATCCGACCGAGCACAGGTAAGGATACGTTAGATCCTACCTTGTGGCAATGAGGGTGGCGAGGTCTAATTACTACTCCACCCTCATTGCGTCATCAGATAACCGCCCAGCCTCACTCTTCAGGGTGACCCGCTCTCTCCTTCAGTTGAGGGGAGGGGGGGGACCCTCTGGTGGGGAGGGCTGAGGACTTTGCCCAATATCTGTATGACAAAGTCGCTCGGATCCGAGAGGGTTTAGACTCCGACTGGGTGGCCCCGGGGGAGGAGACGGGAGCAGGTCTTGAGACTATTATATGGGAGGAGTTTGACTCTGTG